AGCGGAGAGCTGTCCCCCCCCCCCCCCCCCGCACCCTAGATGAGCGGCCTGCGGCTCCACCCCACTCCTGACCTGGCTGGGCAGTGTCTGGCTTCCCATTCACCATGGGGACCTCGATCTGCACCCTCCCCCTGCCCCTTTTCCCCCTCCACAGACTTACTAGCAGGCAGCTGTTTTCCAAGCTGCCGGGTTGTATATCGGCTATTGGATCAATATTGGCTGATATGGCTGGTTAACAATCGGCCAAAAAAATCTTTATTGGTGTACCCCTTCTGAACATGTTTTACCCAAATAAAAAGCCAGCTGTAGCTGAGATGGAGCACCCCAAATAAAGGTTCACTGGAAATAATTTTTTGAGCTCTGCTGCATGCTTGGTGCACAAAGAAGGGGAAAATGTATTTTTCAGGGGAAATGACTTCATCACTGTTTTGCTAGAGTGTTCTTAGTAGTCTGTTGCGAGGTTCTGTCTTGAACTCCTGCAACTTCTCATTTCCCTTGCTGGGAGTGGACAGCTTGGGGTTGGGATGGCTGTTATTTGTTTGTACAGAGCCATAGAGATGAACAGTTCTTTACAAATTAGAAAAGTTTACAATGAATAAAGGAATAAAACATGATGATAAAGACAATACGATCACAGAACATTGTGAATGTTCTAAGTGTTGCCTTGTTGTTGTTGTTGAAGGCATGAGAAGCTGTAGGCCTCTTTAAAAATGGTTCAGATCATATGGCTCCAGACTGTTTAAGCCTTAAAGTGCCCATTCTGTATTGGTATTTAACTGACTTCTTTCTGTAGTTTGTTTTATTTATAAAAGATCACAATAGAAATTTGTAGTGTGAATCAATACTTACATTCTTTAATCAGTGTTAATTGTGCAGGTTTAAACAAACACTTAAAGTAAGAATTTTTAATCCCACACCTTCACATTGGTGTTGGCATGTGTTATAAGTCCCTTTTTAAATTCAGATCCACAACCTCTTTGCTACATCCAATATTAAGTGTCTTCCTCTTTTGACGCTAAAATGTATAGCAGCTAATTTTTATAAATGCTTGAGGAAGAGGTGACCCATAGTTCTCCAATTTCAGTGATGTCTAGAATAGCTGAAAATAAATTCCATTTGTATATAAAATGTCTGTTTTGATAATATGCTATTCACAAGCATAGGTTTGTTATAGTGTGAATTTTTGCCAAGCAGTTTTTCTTTAAAGAGGTGGACCCTAGGGCCTTTTATTTAGGCCCTGATTGGTTTATTTCTGTTTTGCCTATTGTAGGCAAGGGGAATTCTTAGTCCATACAACAGAATTTAAACTGCTGTATAACCCTGTTTTAAAATTATACTTTCAAATACTACCTCACTGTTTTCCATAGGTGTGGTTGATGATGCATGAGAAAGGCTGAACTAAATTTTGTTTGTTTCTTAGTTGTTTTGTTCTGCCAGTCTAACAAAGTGCAATTAAACTTACTTTTGCCACTAAAGTAACCAGATTTTTGAGTGAGAGAGTGAATATTTTAGGTCTTTTACAGTAGAAGGAGATGCTGCAGTTCTTATATCTTTGCAAAATTATTAATAATTTACCAGCTCAGGTATAGTACTTAATCTGCCTGCCACTTTCCAGGTTGGTTGATGCCAACATTTTATTCTTTCTGGAGAATAACATCTTGATGCTATGTTAGTCCTATATCTCACCTGATTTAGAAAATGTCAGGTATTCAAACTCGTATCATTTTGACTAACACCAGACTATATTAGTTTATATAGCTTGCATTGTTAGATGTAGGGTAGTTACGAAAACTCATGCTTCTCTGACCAAGTCAGTTTCTAAAGTGCCACCCTGCCATGCTTCTGCCTAATTGCAGGCTAACATGGCTAACTACCTCCCCATATGAAGCTTCAAAGGCATCATGAATCAAACTAATCTAATGAAAGAAGCTTTTGCTATATGCACTTAAATTTCACAAGCAGCCATGTGTAAAATTGCTATAGCTTCCTTTACCAGCAATATGCCTACTTACACTAAAAAGTGTTAAAATAATGCAAAAGTGTCTCATTATTACCAAAAAACCAGCATTATCAGAGACTCTTGGAGGAGACAGAAAGATTTAAAAAATGCTCTAGTTATTGATGGTAGTGTAAGACTGAAGTTGTAGGTCCAGAAATTATGCAAGAGGCAAGGATTTCTTTGGGGGATATCTTTTATTGGACCAGCTGTATGGTTGGGATAGAGTTAGGCAAGTTTTCAAATAAAATATGTCACCTGAAGAAATCCTTGTCTCTTGCATAGTTATTTATTAAATTCTCATATTAACCACACACACGAAAAAAGTCTGAAGTCACAGAAACTACTTATGAACTTGAAGGTTCATTAGCTTTGATAAAATTTTGAACTTCCTTTGCAAACAATTTCAAATAAGTTGCTTAACACATGCAAAGTTACTTTAATCTGTGTAATTACTTTGTATGTATTTCCAGGGTATCGAATCCTAGGTCTTACAACCGAAACATTGACAGAAGTGGGTTTACATATTCATGTCCACACTGTGGAAAGACATTCCAAAAACCAAGTCAGTTAACTCGACATGTTAGAATACATACAGGTAAGGAAAGAGAATTTTTTTTTTGGTTACAAATATTTTATAAAGTGCAGATCATTCGTGGGTTTATGAGTTAGTTCTGTGTCAGATTTCCTACATTTTGTGATGTAATGGTGAGGTAGATTAAATGATGCTGTTAAATATTACTAAAATACTTTTATAACTATGAAATACATGAAAAGAAGAATACAGTTAATGGATTACTTTTGCTCTTATTTTATTTAAAACAATTTTATTAAAGCAGTTTATTTCAAGTATCTCCACATTTTCATTTCTTTGTTCTGACAGTGTATAGTTTTACTTTTCATGTTGCTGGAGATGAATATGGAGAGTACTGGCTGTGGTTTTGGGAACCGAGGAGGAATTGGAGATAATTTGCAATGTAGTAATTGCTAAACCACAGAAGCTTGATGTTCCTACTAAAAGCATTAGCACTAAAATAAATGTTTGTATCTATGTTTAGGTTTTTGACATACCACACTGAGATGAATTGGGCCATTAAAACCTATTGGAACTATCCTTCTAGGTTCTCTTCACATTGGCATTTTATATTGCAGTGTTTTATACTCTGTTTTAAAGGATTTTATTGCAGCCGTAGAGCTACCACAACACATGCATCAGAGAATACGCTGGGCTCTAAGTAAAATGCATTAACAAAATAATTGCACACATTAGCTTTGCATTATGTAGAATATATAGATAGTTTATTTCTAGTTACAGTATATAGTAGGGATAACTTCCTGCTTCGCTAATTAATAAGGCTAGTTCATGTTAATAATAAAAACCAATCCCCTCCTTTTAATGAAAGTTGTCCATCTGGACTAAGTACAGTCTAACCTGCATAAATTCAACCAATTTGCAAGTAAATAAACATTCACTTTTGATTCTGGAAATGCAGGTACACGCCTGCAGGAGCTCAGGCCAGAAGCTGGGGGGTGCTAGACCAGCCCTCCTTTCCCTTCCACAGTGGCTGGGTGTGGGGAAGCTGAGCAGAGGGAGCAGGTGTGGCCAGCCCCTACAGGCCTGAGTGTGACTGGGGAGGGGTTTAAACCCCTAGCTGGGATGTGCCTGGAGGGGGAGTAGGGAAGCAGCCCTTGCCAGGCTTCTGGAGGGGGGGAAAGGAATGTGGCCAGACACTGCCCTGGCATAGCTCCTTAAGACAAAGCGGGTAAGGAAGTAGTTTATTCTGTCCTCTCTCTCCTTTCCCCCTGGGACCCCAGCCTGGCTAGGACAGAGCAGCCCCTGTCAGGCACTCCCCTGCTTCCCTCTCCCCAGGGCCCTTGAAGTGAGCAGCTGGGGGGTGTGGCCAGCCCATTGGCAGCCTGAAGTGAAGGTGGGGGTGGGAGGGGAGAGAAGGAAATGTAATCCTCCCTCCTTCCCCTGTCCTGCTGGCATGAACCCCAGTTGGGGTCTGCATGGCCAGGGCATGGCAGTCTGTCAGGGACCCCTCCCCACCCCGTGTTGCTCCAGTGGCAGGAGTGGGGGTGTGGCCAGATGCTGACCAGCATGGCAAAGGGGGCAGGGGGGGAATTTATTTCTTCACCCCAGGGGGTCATACCAGGCCAGTGTCTATCCACCCCCTGGCCCCTGCTCCGGCTAGGGACCGGAGGGGTAGGGACAGCCCTGCTCTCTGGAGCAGACAGCACAGCTCAGCCCAGGGCTGGCAAGCATGTTGGGATGCTGGGGGACTCTGATTTAACTTCAACCAGGAAAGGGTCTGGGACAGAAGTTCCATAAACCAGTTTGACCTAAATCAGTGAAGTGTGGTACTACATTCAACCAGGTTTATCTTAAACCAGTTTCAGCCATTTTGAAACTGGTTTCTGTGTGCTGAACTTTTGTTCTGTTACAAGTTTAAGCCAGTTTCTGATTACTTAAATCGGGTTGTGTGTAACTTCTGTCCCTAGCTTAGATGTCCTTCCACAACTGCATTGTAGATTGCTTAACTGCGGTTCTGTTTTAGGTTTCATATGTTTGAATTACAGAAAGGAGACACTAGAGGTCACCCTTGTATGTGATATTAAAAGTAGTGTCGAAATCATTACTTTAAAGAGTCGTGAGAATAAGCTCAACAGAAAAAAGTACTTTCTATCTTAAATATATTATCCTAGTTACTTGTGTAGCCTAATATGAATTTTAAAAATTGATGAACAGAACAATTGTCCTCAAAGTCTTATGATTTTTAGATTTCTGCATTTCCTGAGAAAGAATAAAACTATGCGTTTCTGGCTGGCATGGGAAGAAAAGATGTCTCAATGAAAATGTCAAAATGAGTTGCACTAATCCTCATTTCAGTTTGTGTATTAATTCACAGTATTCATTATCCTGACATTAGCATGTACAAGCTTCCTTTTATGGTTTTCTGCTATAGGAGTACACCAAAGTAAGGTGTGAAATTGCTTTCTCAAGGGGTTGTAGCCACTAGTGTGTGTATGTAACATACCTTTTGCTTCCTTTTAAAAAAGAAAAGTACATATGCTATGAATTTAGAGTACAGATTTCCAATATGTAAAGAAGGAAATAAGGTGCAAGATCAATAATAAATAAGGACATTCAGATACTGAGAGAACCATGCCCCAAAATGTTATGAGAAGTACAGGCCAACTGCTAGTCCTCTCTGTATTTCTGTCTTTTGGGTGCTAAGGACAAATATCGTTCTATAATATTACTATAGTTTAAAGAAAATCTTCATACAAACCTTAAAGGGAAGCCTTTATGAGAGAGTATATTTTAAAGTAGCCTTACATGTAGGCTTAAAGTATCTCTAAACATTCAATACCATTTCACCTCACATTTATTTGAAAGCTACCCTTGGTAAACTGCCAGCTGATACTCTGAGCAGCTGCTTAATACTAATTTTACCAAAATTTCATTGTCAAATATAATTTCTTCTACTAAGTCTCTAAAGTTCATTTAACAATTGAGCTATAGCAGATTTGTGTGGTTTTTTTTTACTGTCAAAGCAAGTAATAGAATATTATTGCACATATCAGCTATAAAGAAAATCAATCATATAATTTCTTTCTAAGGTATAATAAACTTATGTAAATCTTTCTTTAGGTGAGAGACCATTTAAATGCAGTGAATGTGGAAAAGCATTTAACCAGAAGGGGGCATTACAGACCCATATGATTAAGCATACTGGTGAAAAACCCCATTCCTGTGCCTTTTGTCCTGCAGCCTTTTCTCAGAAAGGCAATCTTCAATCACACATACAAAGAGTTCATTCAGAGGTAAATAAAATAATTAACAATATGACTTTTGTTTCCTTCTTGGTATTTATCTATTCTATTTTTACAAACTACTATTCTTAAAACTGTACCTTGTTACCTGCATGAAACATCATCACTTACCTGTGGGACATTAGATTGCAGGCCACTTTGCTCAACTTTATGTTGACTGAGTTTCTAAAATCACTTAATCTAAATTAACAGTGTCTGTGTATAACAAAGGCTTTTTTACTCTTACCTTTTTAGCATATTAATATCCTGGGTGAATAAGGGAAATATATTTCTTACAGGGCTTTTTGTTTCATTTTTAAACATTATTTACAAACATTTATCTTTGTTTGTAACTGTTTATGATGTAAATTGGATAAAAGCAAAACCAGAAGCCTCTCCAGACCTCAAAGGTGAGAAAGTAACCAGTGAGAGATTTCAAATCCAAACAATACATCCTACACACACCAATATCAGTCCTCTGAGTACCTCTTTTTTCCCAGGATATGAATGAGGGCTTCTGGAAGAAGAAAGCAATGATAGGCTTCTTCATTAGTAGAGTAATTGAGGAGACTGACCAAACTAGCAGTCCCTGGTGCTGCTGAGGGAGGGTGCACAAAAATAGGTGCTGCAATCTTCTATTCTTCATTCTGATCCTTTTACCTCTAAATCTTTGACCCATAGATTTTAAAAAAACAGGCCTTTCTGTATAGCCCAACTTACTTCACAATGCTGGGTTGTAGAATTTTATCAGATAATTTATTCATTTGAACCAGCAACTTGTAGTTGAGCGTATCTTTCTTGGAAAAATAACCCAGGTTTGATATAAAGCCTTTGTATGATGCAGAACCTGCTACTTATTTGCTAACCTATTCCAATTACTTGCTGTTGAAAAATGTACGCTAGTTACAATGTTTTAGCCTTAGCTTCCAATCAATTAACATCTTACCTTTTCTGGTAGATTAGAACCAAGAAGAGTCGGGTATTTTTGCCTAGTTAGCTATTTTCATACCTTGATTTGTAGGATTTCCTCATACACAGGACTCGTACTAATATATTCATATAAATATACATATTACATGGTTTAATCCATGTATGCCCTAGTGTGGATACAGCTATTCTGATATAAAGTTGCTGGAATTGTTATGATTTATTTTAGCAAACCATTGAAAATAAACTACATCAGTACACCAAGATTTAACAATAACAGTCTCTTACAAATCACTTAACAGTTTAAGCTTCTTAAGTCTTTAAGATGTGTTTTGCAGACCTGCAGTCATTCTTGCACCTTATCTTTAACCCTGTTCAATTTTTGACAGGTTTTTTTTTTTTCTTTAAAGCCTGGACCGCCAAAAAGTATACACTATTCTGGGATCTGTCTCTCCAATGACCTTTACAAAGATAACATCACTTCTTGCTTCACTTATGCTTTACTGTTTTACTAAGATATGTTACTCCTCTAAGTTAATGTGTTGCAATAGGAGCTCCTATTTATGTGACCTAACATGACTACCAAATGTTTTTTTCAGAATCACTGCTCTTTAAGACATAGTCCTCCATCATGCAGATATGATGCATCATTATTACTGGGTGTTCAGCATAGGTTTTAGCTATATTAAAGCACATTTAAGTTTACCTTACCAAATGATCCAGACTACTGTCGGTGACTAGTCCTCATATTTATTTAGCTTTTCCTTATACGTGCTATTTGGTCCTGGGTATGGCCATAAACTGCATCTGACTGGAGGGCTTGGTGGCAATGTAGTGAAGCTACTTATGGTGGGGTAGCTCTTATAAAATACCACAGTGTTGCAACTTCCGGAGTAAGGGGAGCATAGGGTGCCTCAAAACCTTAGCCCCCACTGCCTTGTGGGTACTCCTTGCTTGGAAAGAGGCGAAGAGACATCACATGCTGACGGTCTTGGTTTGATAGTTGCATACACCATAATCCAGGAAGATCGACGGTTGCCAAGATATGTGCTATGAAGTCATCTGCAGAAGTTTTATCAACAAGTGATTTTCCTTTAGAATACTGACAATAAGTATTGAATACTGTCAGGCTATTATGAGAATTCACTTACTGATTTATCATTAATTCATTAATTAATTCTTAAGATGTATCACCTGATTGTGTATTCTAGAAAAGTCTTTTCCAGAGGTCTTCTCATGTAGCACTTTCTTTATTCTGAGCTTGCCTTTAATATTACCTTCAGAATTTTCATCGTTGTTTCTTTGGTGGTATTTTCCTCTCCTGTTTTAAGTCTACACTTTATCCTCAACTGATTATAGAGTTTCTATTACAGACTCTTGTATGATGACTCTCAAGTCCGTTTCTATTTAGTAATATATTTTTTGCTAACTTGAAACATTTTCCTGAATATCTTGCTAAGAGTTTGAACTCAACATGGGAAAAATGGAACTTTCCCCTTATTTTATATTGGCAACTATGCAAACCATGTGCAAAAATATGTCTTGCTGCATCATCTAATTCTTTCATCTCCTTCCACCATATTACTGCTGTTACTATATTAATATCTTTCTTTATAACATGCAAAAATCTGTCTCTGCCTCTTGCTGTGTTTCTCTTGAGTTCTTACCATTTTTTGTTTTCTTCTTTGAATGCATAAGTTTTATTTTTTGTTCTCAGTGCTGCCACAGGGGTCAGCTGGGAGCACTAGCCTCCTATCATCCGGCAGGCAGATTGGGGGCCTGCACCCCTGGGAGGAATCCAGGACAGCCCTGCAGCCCTCCCAGGCGTGTGGGTGGGCCCTGATCTGCCTGGCGGATGACAGGAGGCTGCTGCTGCCGGCTGGGATAGGTGCTAAAGCCAAGTAAGCCTAGCTTCGAAACTCAAAACATTTCTAGTGCCCTTGTTTTTTTTCAGAGCCATTTCAAAGGCTTTTGTTTTGGTTTGATTTTGCTCTTTGGAGCTTGAAATGCATCGAAACAGCTTCAAAACAAAATGCCAGGCGAAATTTGCACAGCTCTAATGTTCACATCCTTGCCACGTTGCTTTAGTTGTCTGTATGTCAAATTCACACTGCTTTTTCTTGTTTTAATGTCCTGTCAAACCTTTTGCCTATTTTTTCTGATTTTTATCTACTCTTCCTTTTCTGAGGCTGCATGATTAAACTGTGCTGCCCTACCTTCATGTTCTTTTTTCCATTTTTATCTCTATTCCTTCTTCCATACAGTTCTTGACATCTGTGACCCAGTCCACTATGCCTCTTCAAAACACCCTTTTATTCTAGAGACTCCAAAGTGTAAGCAGATAAAAACAAAATTGAGCACAATTTTTTATTATTAATTCATTTCTTTGCTTTCCACTTTCTGTCTTTTGTCTAGGTAATAGTAATTCTTCAAACAGATCTTGATTAGTAAATTCTCTGTTGGATTTTGTTTTTGTGTATCTAATTAATGCCTGGGTGGGAGAAGTGGATGGATAAAAGTGAGGTTACCACTAGTTAAAAGACATTTATTTACATCTCTGAAGCTTCCTCAAAAGATGGTAGCAATAAGTGATGGCCATTTCGGTAGATAATTGCCTCAACTCCAAAGAGAAGTGCTTAACTGTTCTCTTACCTGTCTTAAAAGAAGGCTGATCTGATTTATTTATTTACAGCAGTAAATACTGTCGTATATATATCACAATGATTTATGAGACCATTTACAGTTTGAAGACTTAGAAAAATAAAATATTTGTCTTTTTTTTTAATTCCTTAAGGTGAAGAATGGCCCTACATATAACTGTACTGAATGTAGCTGTGTTTTCAAAAGCTTAGGTAGCTTGAATACTCACATCAGCAAGATGCATATGAGTGGTTCACAGAATTCTGCAAGCTCTACAACAGACTCAACTCATGTTACAACGGTAAACCTTACTTTCTTTGCCATGCAAATGACTTTATCCCAACACTACAGTACTATGAAAAATGTCCAAATAAATTGTTATGTTTATCATTTAATACTGCATTTACAAACAGAAAAGTATAGTCCTCATTAATGGCTCTCATTATTTCTTTTGAAGCCTCAACTCACAATTTGTAAAGAATAGTATTAAAACACTCAGGTGTATCACCACTGTGTGGACTCAGTAGGAAAATGAACAATGGAACTTTGTCATATGTGCATTTTGAAGCTGTCTTAAGTAAATAGATCCCCTGTTGTTTCATAAAGGAAAATGGCTCTTTTTAATTTGTTTTATCTTTTTTAGTTTTCAAAACTGTTTAAACTTGTTTTTCTTGTATACTGAATATCATTTGCAGTCCTGGATGTTCATTGCACACAAAAAAACTGACTATTCAAATTCATAAGGCCACTTCTGTACTTTAGGAACATTATGATAAACCTAGAAAACGGGCAAATGAGACTGTTTCAAACTATAGATTACGTTTAACACGGCTGGCTTAATTGAGTTTTCAGAAGATTTCTTCCTCCCTTCAAGAATATTCTTGTTGTCACTTGCTGTTGAATAGGATATATGCACTTCTGCAGTGAAACTCCTGCAATTGAGCACATTAAACTTCCAAAATAGTGTTCCTTTGGGAGGTGTGTTAAGTACCCTTATGTAGCATGTTTTACTAGATGCCTTTGTCTAGGAGTGCACTGCGTTTCCTCCCACCCACCTCAGATCATGGACAGGTCTTACGTTTCTAACAGGTTGTGCCTCTGTCCTCTGGATTCCCAGGGCTCAGCCCCTCTTCTTTCCCTGTCCCCAGTCCCTTGTTCTGTGCAGTCTCTGGCAGTCCCAACTACTGCCCCAGGGAAATAGCTTGGTCTCATGGATTGTCACACAGTTGCATGCTGCTCAGTCCCATCTCTTGTGGACAAGATGCAATCCGTAAATACTTCCTGCCCACAGAACAAGGCAGGAATCCACTTTCCAGATGCTCCTGTTGGGTACAAAATATCTGTTTCTCTCTGTATCTCTGGCATTCCTACAAACCAGGCTGGAGGAAGGACAGTGGGCAGGGGGTTGTTTCTGACCAGTTATGAACCGGGGACCTTTGTAAGGCAAACATGATGCCTGCTACACTACCAAACTGAAGGTACTACAGAAAATAAAGTCACCAATCAGGAACTTATGGGTGGTGGAACTTGTATTGCATCCTTCAAAAATCAGCTTGCGGCTTCTGTAAGTGGTAAATGCCATGACTGGGGTGAAGGGCAGCATCTCTCTGTAAGTGGGGGCAATGTTGGAACCCTGAGGGGGTCACACAGCCAGGAGGTCCGTGTGTGCTTGGTGTGGAGACTAGGTGCTGTACTTCATAAAGACTATAGCTGGGATGAAGGGGAGTCCCCAAAGTCTGCAGTGTTAGACCCTTCTCCCATTTACAGCCTCCTGTGGGTTGATGAGGCAAGTGAATCCTGGTTGTAGCAACTGCTGCATAACCAGAGAAACCTTCCACAACACCTCTGCTTCTGTGGACATATCTACACTGAACTGGTTGGTGAACTGGGGACCATGTGGCCATGTGTGGTTCTGCACGCCAGCCTGCATGGGAGCTGAGTGAGCTCTCTGAAGTAGTGGCCATCTGTGTGTCAATAGGAGTGTGCATGCACTGGACCTGCTGCACTGGACTTAAAGAAATTCCAAGTTGTCTTTGCATGAATTTTCTTAATACCTCCTTCTGTATGACTTCATTAACCAGTTCTCGTAGTTCATCAAAATGTCTCCTTTGGAAATAAAAATAACCTTCTTCCCTGCCAAAAAAACTCAACTATAATCTTACTTTGTCACTTCATTTATTTGAAAATGAATCAACTGTGACTATAAGGTTATTTTCCATGGTGTCTTCCTAAGTTTCCAAAATCAAATCTTGAATAGAGTGGTCTTGTTTGGGGGCAGTAGGGATCTATTATGAGCTGGAAGTGAAATTAAGAGGCCTGTTTTGGCAGTAGAAACTATGAAGAGTAGTGCTGCAGCTCTGCATTCCCAGTGCAAGTGCAGAGTGGAGAAAAGTCTCTAGTTGTAGTTCCCTGGGTGGCTGGCCAGTTGACATTTCCCTCTTTTTCCAGCTTCCTTGGGAACCTTTGCATATGGAAAAGCCTGCTGGGATCTCTGCATGCCATCCCCCTGGAATAGAGGTCTTTCATGTCTTGTGGTGCTCCAGATGACTGGGCACTTGAATGCGTGTACACATTTCTCATCACATTTTTGTGGTGCTGTAAATTTCCCAGAAATTCTTGGCACTGCAAATGAATGCCTGTCTATGCCCTCAGCTCCTCTCCAGCACCATAGAAAACAGAAATTACCACTGTCCTGTTAGGCACCTATATCTACAGGTTAAACACAGGGACCACATTTTTGTACAGATTTGTCTTAGTTTTTCAGATTTGTTAGTATAGAACAATGGAGACCAGTCTTTTGGCCAGGCATGCCAAACATTAATCCTGTACCTTCACCAGGGTGCCAGGCTGATACCTTTCCCTTACCCGGTTTGTTGCCAGGTTTGTACTCCCTGACCAAGCTGCTGCTCTGCTTTCTGCTCCCTGTCCTGTCTGTCACTGAGCTGCCTTTCTCCTCCCCAGTCTGCTGTATGCCACAAACAGGGGCTGCTTGTACTACTTACGACACATGTGCCACAGGTTGGCCATAGCCACCCTTGGTATAGGGTAACTTAATATAGGTTAGTTTGAAGACTTTTCTTTTGAAATTCTCTCAGAGCCTATTGGGCTTCTCTGTCACTGTGACAAATAATAGATTCTAGAAAGTAGCTACCAGTATCTGTTCTGAATAAAGGGGTATACATAATCCGATGCCTGATAAGTCTGTGAGCTATGCTTGCAGTGTGTACAGTTTTCTTTTAATGCACAGCTTTTATGACTTGGAATTCTTAAGAACAGTCATTAAAACTTCAGACTGCTTGGCCTTTGAAGTACAGGAGGAAGCTGGACTTCTCTTCAGCCTGCATTCTGTGCCTTTTCTGGAATAGTCTACTTCTCTGTCTTGGTGTCAGTGTTTTACCCAAGGGCTTGAATCCTGGGCTTTTCTAGATACATTGTCAATTGCTTGTCACCTGACAAAGACCTTCTAAGCTAGTGACTGTCTTCATAACACTTGATCATTTGGCATGTTCTTGTGTCCTGAGTCCTGCTTTTGCTACCAGTAGGAGTTCTTTTAGTATCAACTGTGCCATGGGATACTTGCACAGACTTCTCAGCTAAGATTTCTGGAAAATCACATTCCAAATAAGTACTAGAATAATGAGGATACGCAAAAGAAGAAAAAAGCAGCATTTCCCCTTTACCTGGTCCAGTGTGATAGTCTCGCTAATTTAGTTTCTACAGTACTACACACCTGACTTGTCAAGCCTAGTTTGTTCGTGATGGTGGCCAAAAACTTTTTCTCCTGAGAGTTCTTTGGGTCATGTATGTCAGTGTGCTTAGGCATCAGGCTCGGATGCAGATTTTGCCTTCTTCCATGCAGACCTTGCTTTCCAGCCCTGAGCCACCTTGCCTACAATCAGGAGGCTTCCTCACTCCATGAATGGTATAGAAAGACAACAAAGAAGACTTTAAGGGTCTTCTGCATAATTTGCTGCTCCAGGACCTCTTCCCCATATTTCCTCAGGATATTGGAAAGGATATACTAAAAATCCCCACCTGGTTGCTAATGCATGCCAGAGTCTGTACTTTGGCTTTGATTCAGTTGGCACCATCCCAGTCCTTTGTCCCTTTATGCTAGGATTAATTATTACAACCATTTGGGCAGGGTACTGATATATGAGATAATGACTACCTAGTGGAGTACAAAACAGATGCTGCTTCAGTGAGCAGTTATTTCAGCTGCAGTATCGTCTCCAGTGATTTCAGGAAAGCTTTGTAGCAGTTTGCCTAATACTTTACAAAGATCATCCTGCATCTAGGAAGAGGAACCTCCATAGCAGAACCATTGGACTTGCTGTCTGATACAGTATGGCTCTGAGTAAAGAGCCAAGTGTCTAATTGTACCATTTCATCAAATTGCAAGTGAATCTGGCAAGAGTTACCTGGTTGACCCCTGTGTCTTTTCTGAGTCTGTAAAGCGAGTAGTCTCATGTATCTGGTCCTGCTGAGGTAGGGTGAGTCAGACTGTTAATTCCTACAACAGTGTTCTTTCCATCTGGTAGAATCAGTACCATTGTGCATGCTGAAAAGACCAGAGTCTTTCTTTCGGTATGCACAAACTGAGCAAGGAAATGATTCAACATCTTTGGCAATAAGATACATTTTTCATGCTCTCTGGAAATGAGAATCTTGAGTTACCAGACTGATGACCATTGATCAGACTTTTGGGAAAAACTGAATCCCATTCATGAAACTTTCCCTAAGGAAAATAACTAGGTTTCTGGCTACTGAGAGGTACATGGAGGCTAAGCACGTTCTTAAGATGACGGATGATACTTCAGATATCATTACAGATGCAGCTTTATACTGATATTTGTGACTGTGGATGTATTCCTGGCTCCGTTCCGTGAGAAGACTCAGGGAGAATTAATGATAATCATATGAAGACTTGGCCTTTCCAGTGTTGAGGTTGATGAAGTGGTAGAAAATGAAGTCTGCTAGGTCTTTTAGCAGTTTTTTCTCTCTGAGAAGAGAAAGAAAGCTAATCTTTTTACCTGGCTTTCAGAGTCTTTTGGCATTAAAAGAATCAACTTTTAAACATGATTCTTTCAAACGTGGTCCCCCTACTCTATGATGACACAGAGGACTGTTAACAGGACCTCTCTCAACTCTTGATTAGACATTCTGGGACTGCTTGGAAGACCCATCTCAGGTTTATACACTTCTGAAGTTTGTGGCTAGTTTCATTTGTTTCCAAATCTCAACATTGTGGTGAGCACCTTCTCACTATACTTTTTCCAAGAATTGAGAAAATGCTTTTGAAACACTGAAGAGTAAAACTTGGCTAACACAATTACGTGGAGTATTTATTTGTTAATTAGACTATCAGGCTATATTACCTGTTTTGATACTTGTGCTATGGTAGTACCTATAGTCTAGTTAACAGTTATGGCAACTTCAAAGGTTTCATAGATTTCTAGGGTCGAAAGGGACCTGGTAGATCACTCCCTGCTCCAGGCAGGAAAGAGTGCTGGGGGGGTGGGTTTGTTGGTGGTGTTTTGTTTTTTTTTTTACACTAGAAATTAAATTTGGTTGTTTTCATCTAGGACTGTAACTTAATGTCTCTCTTTTTTGGTCTAGGAGTCTGTGTCCCAGCCTCTAACAACACCTCCTGCTAACCTGTTGCAACCTGTGGATAATAAGTGGAAGAGTGTAAGTATAGATTTTTTTCATTCATTTGTTGTGTGTCAGTACTGTAGGGGTATTGCAGCTTTTAGAACTTTGAAAAATCTTTCTCAATATTATGTATTAGAAATGCAGTAGTTCTATAGTAGAGTTTATTTTTTGTTAAAGGGTCTTTTCCAGTGATGGACCCAATTTGGTAACAGAAATTTGTTAGTACATGCTAATACTAGTTAAGAATTAAAGAAGCTATTTTTGTGTAATATTGCCTGATTCATATGTATTTTCATGACAACTGTACACAAATCCATGTAAAAATTCTTGAAAATGGATGAAAATCCTGAGTTCTGCTCTAGCCCCTGTATTCTGCATAAGAAGATCAGGGCAGCGTAAAGAGTCTCAAAAAGCTCCAGATACAGTCAGGGAGGAACTTGCAACTGCCTTCCATAGATCCAGTACCATGCAAGGTTCTCATCCCAGAGCAAGGTTTCTCTTCCTCCAGCAAAAAAATGTGTTGGGCCTGGTGACAAAGAGGGCACGAGTTATAGTTGGAGCAGCAACATTTTCAGACCCAACTGGTCACCTAGCTAAACCACAGGTCAGATGTCAGGGCTGTAGAACTACAAAGGGTCTGAAGAGCCAGCAAGCTAATCTGAAGGTGAGGGGTCCCGGCAGACCAGGAACAAGTAGGTAGGAACCAGGAAATAATCAAAAAGTAGGACCCAGGGCACAGGAAACCAGGAACGCGAATCGAGGACTAGGATCAGAGTTGGGGATTTATCAGAAGCCAGGTGGCTAAGGTATCTCTCCGATTACAAGTATAGCTAAGGGTTGAAGTAAGGTTATGGTCAGAGCAGTGGTTGATTAAGGCCAGGAGGTCAAAGAAAGGAACTGGAGACAGGGACTAGGAACATAGTTGTCCAAGATGGCATCACCTGACAGTACTATTGCTGAGACACAAGGCTCTATATAGGAAATGGGAGGGTTTTGTAGCACTCCCATCAAGGTTCTATGGGTCTCATTGGGAACCTCATGGGAGGGCCCAGGTTCAGCTGGGGCTGGTGTTTGGCTTGCTGCTGGGTGGTACCGCAGCTTAGGCTTCTGCCTGTGGAAATGGAAGACCTCTGTTTAAATCCCAAAGGTCCTAACAAGTATACTGTTACAGAAATTGTCCCTCAGTTGCCTGTAGATTGCAGCACAAACTGCTATAACTTGAGCTCTCAAGGAGGTCTGCATAATACCAGGAGCCATGGGATAGTTCCGGACTGGGAAAGGGACTAGTGTGGCTATCACAGTATTAGAGATAAGGTCCATTCATGGATCAGTAACTGGCTAAACACAGGGAAGAAAGAAATGGGTATAAATAGTCAATTCTTAGAGTAGAAGGAGGTTCATAGCAAGGATTTTAAGGGTCTCTTTGTTGGACTTTTGCGGTTCAACCTATTTGCAAATAAATGATTTGGAAAATGGGATGAATAGTAAGGTGACCATGTTTGCTAATGACACTTATTATCAAGGTGGTAAAAAAACAAAGTTGACTGAAGAACTGCAAAACAATTTTGTAAAATTGAATGAGCAACAAAGTGGCAGATGAAATTCAGTGTAGGTAAGTGCACCGTGATGTGTGTGAGGGGAAAAAAATAACCCAAGATGCATTTGGATGGTAATGAGTTATACACTAACTGTTACTACTCAAAGAAATCTCCCAATTATTTGGATAGTTCTCTGAAAACATCAGTCCAGTGTTCAGCAAAAGGCAAATAGAACGTTATGAATTATTGAGAAGGAAACTGAAAACTGAATATATCATCTTACTAGTGTATAAATCCATGGTGCACTCATTTCTTGAAAACTGGATGCAGTTTTGAGGTTCTTCCCCTCAAAAGCATATCCTAGATTAGTGGGGCCAACCTTTTTGCCACGTCTCACAAATTAGCCCTCCCTTTTCCCTGATTTGCCTCTCTGATACCTTTCCTTACCTGATCAGTTGCTCAGCCATCTGGTCCCTGACAAAACTGCTGCTTTGCTTTCTGCTGCTTCTGTGCTTACTTCCTGATCTCATGCTCTGCTTCCTGCTCCTCACCTTATCTGCCACTGTGTTGTCTGGCCCCTCCCCAGTCTGCCTGTGCTACATGGGGGCTGCCCATGCTACTTGTGGTTTCCTAGCTGCAGGTTGGGCATCCCTGTCCTAGATTTAGAAATGGTGTAGAGAAGTACCCCAAGAATAATCAGTAGCATGGAGAGGCTTCTGTATGAGGAGAGATTAAATATGGAATATAGCTTAGAGAAAAGACTGCTGAGGAGGGGAAATGATAGGGGTTAATAAAGTCATGAATGGTATGCAAAAATAACAATGATTTATTATTTACTTTCATGATACTAGAACTGGGGGACCATGCAATGAAGTTATTAGGAAAGCAGGATTAAAACAAATAAAAACAATTTTCTGTTCATGCAACATGTGGTTAGGCTGCAGGACTCATTGCCACAAGATTTTGCAGAGGCTGGTAATTTAACCAAGTTCAAAAGAAGATTAGACAGATGCATACAAGATTAGGTCCCAGGGCACATGTTAAACATTATAACTTACAAATCAGGTCTTCCTACATCTCCCAATGCTGGAATCTGTAAGGGAGGAGGCAGCAGATCAGTTTGGATGGAATCTGCATATATAGTTTTCCCCTTAGTAGCTGTTTTCTGTGTACTGGGCCAGGTGGACCTGTCTTCTGATCTAGGATGACACTTATAATGTTTGTACAATAGTTATTTCGTAAGACCTTACATCCAGAACATTTTTGAGAGCAGAGGTTTCAGCCATATATGTTCACTGGATTAAAGATTACGTGATTAGTGATTACTGGATATGTTCATTTGATTAGTAGCTATACTATCCTTTGCGTATGCATTTTTTTGCATAAATATTCAGAGGTGCTTACTGGACTGATTTGCAAAGGTTGCAAATGCATATAACTTGAAATGAGCAGTGTATTGCAGCTTTCAAACAGCCCAGAAGTATTTGGCTCCCATGACCCTCCAGGCACTTCTGAAACCTTTTTGTGTCTATGTAATTGCTTATATGCTTTCCTCCTCTAGTATAGTTTGTCACTTTTAGATGGAATGACCAATTGAAATTTAAGACTGCTTTTAAATGCTAGATGACAGATCTTAAATGTAATTATAAAATAAACTTCCAAAAGGGCTCGTTCAGGGTCTTAAGCTATTCAATATTTTTATCAATGACTTGGAAAGAAATCATTTAATGTTGAAGTTTTCAGGTAACGCACAGATTTGGGGAGGAAGAAAACAAATCATTATTGATACACAGTGATTTGCATTGCTTCATGATCAGAGTTCAAACAAAGAATACAGACCATACTTTTAGGTTAGAGGAACCTGTTCTGGGAAAGCAGTGATGTTGAAAAAGATTTAAGGGTCATGATGGATATATCAATTGAATGTGAGCTTACCAGTGTGATGTGTTTTGCTATTGGAATAACATGTTAGGATTCAGGCGGGTTCTTTAAAGCTTACAATTTGCCAAAAGAAGATTGGCATTTTTTATAGCAGGTATTCTCTAATTCAGTTAATTACTTTACTTGAAGCAGGAGCTAATCCAGGGAAATGTTAGTGGTGCGCAGGAGGTCCAAGTAGATAATCACAGTGATCCTTTCTGGCCTTGTAATATGTGAATTTTTAAATTGTGAAACAATATTTGACCCTGTACTATATTCTAAATTGCATACTTAATAAGCATTCCAAATGAAAGCCTTGCAGGAAATTTATGATGCTTTCATGTGATGGAAGGTCTTCATAGAAATAGTAATAAGTTTCTCTATATTTCTGTTGAAACATTCTCTCTTGTGTATGAACATTGTATCTCTGTATCTAAAATCTTATACGTACTGGTTAAACAGACATACTGGTTAAAATGTGAACACCATTTCTCATTAGTTTTGCTTTTCTGTGTACACTTGCAAAATTTGTAATTCTTGTTAGGTCTTATGAATGTATGAGGATCCAGTATTTTATCATAAGCTTAATTCAAGCAAAAGGTTATGGTTGTACAACTCGGGAAGAACTCCTGGAAGGAGAATACAGCCCTTTAATGGAGTCAGCTGTGCAGGAATGGCAGCTGTGTAAACTGTTAAGACCTTCCTTCAGTCTTACATGCATGAACAATTAACATACATGTTTCAGATAAAGATAATTTACAGGTAAGTTAAATTTTCTTTAGACCTCTCTTTCTCATTTTCCATTACATATTTACTGCTCTATGTTTCAGGCCACCCATTTTCGGTCTCCACTTCTTCAACAGACAGAAAACCAGGTAGCTTCAGCAGCTGGTCATCAGGGGCAACAGGCTGTAACTGATGTCATCCAGCAGCTCCTTGAACTATCAGAGCCAAGTCCAGTGGAAAATAACCAACCCCAGCAACCTGGCCAGCAACTTAATATTGCAGTTGGAATCAATAGAGACATTCTACAGGTAGAACACAGATGCATAATAAGTGGCTTTATATGCTGCAGTGCTGTGTATTTGTCTTATCCTGCTAGTGAAATTGGCCTTCATGTTTTCAGTGGTTAGGTGCTTTTTTGAACTTCTAAACTGATTTAAAACAACTGATTATTGTTGTTTTAATTGAGGTTTTGCAGTCTGTCTCTTGTGGTCCAAGGGCTTATGGACCTTTATAATGTTAAATTGTGTGGCCCTAGATTGCAAATTTATTCAAAAGAAAATTTGCATCAGATTATGAACTGAAAATGTCACCCAGCTGTGTTCCATTAAGTTTAAGGAGGAATGTTTGAATCAGGCCTGTAGTATGAGGAGGGGGTAATTAATACTGCACCTTCAGTTGTTTCCCAGTGCTTTTCTTGCCCCGTTACGTGCTCAATCTTCTTAAAAGAATTGTAATACATTGACCACTTTGCAATGTGTTCAGTCGTCAAGCTACAAAGGTTGCAAATTATTTAAGTGCATACAATATCTCTTAAGCACATAAGAGCTATAGTTCAATGGTGAATCCCTTTTTGGAACACTTTAAAGCCTTCATCTGGAAGTCACTGTATACAGGTGCAATTTTATGCATGTACAGAGCTCCATGAAGTTAGTGTGGTCCTGTTCAAATGTTGAGATTTATAGGATTAAGTCTTATTCAAAAAAGTTTCCCTTCCACAAACTTTACCTATTTATATATTGGTTCCTACATACATATGATTAGTTTTTTTAACTTTTAGTTCAGTTTAGCATGCAGCGTTTTGATACATGAATGGCATTTGTATTTTCAAATGACAAGTAAAAAAATAGAATTTGGAATTTTTGTGGGAACTTGTAGATATAATTTTAATGTTTGGGGAAGTGGTGCTTGGTGCATGTATTGCTGGATAAAATCCAACTTGGCATCACATGAATAATGCAACTACTGCAATATTACTACCTGTCACCTTTGAAAGGAAGCTTGAAACTTTGAAAAGCAACTGATATTTTGAGTATGTAAGAAACCTGGTAGAATTTCTCTAATTGTGAGTATTTCATCATTTACAGAATTGTTGTTTGAGCAGAACATTTGGAATAATTTGTGGGATTTTTCTTTTCTAACTTTCTAGTTTTGTTCTGTCTTAGCAAGCCTTAGAAAACAGTGGTCTGTCTTCAATCCCAGTTTCTGCACATCCTACTGACTGCAGCCAAATTAAGACGCCTGCAGCCCAGGATCAAAATCCAGATGTCCAGAATATCTCAAATCACCAAGCTGACCCGAATAATGCAGAACAGGATAAAGGACAAGAAAGTCTAGATAAAATGGATAAAAAAGAGAAAAAGGTCTTAAAGAAAAAATCACCATTTTTACCTGGTAATGTTGAAAATGTTCACTCTGTAAACTCTTTATTCAGTGCTATTTACATTATCTTACATTTTTATAGTTTCTATCACTAAGATATAGGATTTTTTTAGGGTCTAGGCAACAAATAAAATGTTTATTTTTATAGTTTATATTCTTTTCTCTAAAAGAACTTGTGTGTATATTGAATCTCTTGCTACATTTTTTACATCCAGGTTTCAGTTCTGTATACCCATTTAGATTTAATACAGAAGTATCAGTATGGTTAATCACTAAGGTAGGGGTGTCAAAGATAGGACCCATGGGCTGGGTCTGGCCTGTGGAGCCCTATCATTCATCCCCTATGAGTCTCAGACTGGCTTCATATGCAGCACTGTCTGGCCCCAGCCCTGTGTGCTACACATGGCATGCAGAGCCAATCTTGCATAAGCTGCATACGGAGTAGAGGCCAGCATAGCACATGGGGCCAGGCTGGGGCTTGTACTACATGTGGTGCCAGGTGCCAGACTGGTCCTGAGCACTGGATCTGGGGCCAATCTGAATTGTGCTGGATCACCGCACCTGTTGGATCCAGCATACAGGGGGGTCCAGCAAGGGCTGCCCCCATACAGTGCATGCCCCAGACTGGCCTTATGGCATGCCATACACAGAGCCAAGCCTAGTGTCTGCTGTGTGCTGGGCCGAGGGTGGAGTGCATGCTGGTAGCCAGTGGACCTGATCCAGCCTTGCACCCCTCATCTGGCCTGTGGGGCCAGATGACTCACATTCCTGCACTAAGAAATGATCAATTGGTGATAACTCTGACAAGTAATCCTTGAGCAGCTTCCTTTAGAGCTTAATTGTTAACATTTATGTTTTTATTTTATATCAGTACAGGAGTTGGACTCAGGATTGATTTCAAAGTTAGAAACTCTTTCAGTATACCAGTGTTCTCCAATTGGTGGCTTGTAGGCTGCTTGCAGTCCAAAAGGGGTTACTCTGAAGCTTCTGGGCTCCCGCCAGCTGCCAATCCCCATATCACCAGGGATCCAGGTTTTCCATTTCTAATGGAAAAACACAGATTTTTCTCCTTTTAAGGAGGAAAATGTGGGAAATCACGGGTTTCCCCTTGCAGGCTGGCAGAGTTCCAGAGTTCCCCTTCCAGGCTGCTTGAGACTGGGTGGAGCGGGACACAGGGGGCGCCACATGCATGTGTGCATGTGCACACATGCACGTGGCCAGCAATATAGCCAAGCAGCAGTAGAAAGTACCTCTTCCAGCTGCCTGCAGGTAAGTTTATTGAGGGGTGGGGGTGGGGGGAGAGGGCATAGGTGACGCTTAGGGGAGCGAATTGAAGTGGCTATTGAGAGAGGGCATGTGGGGCAGGGTTGGTGGCTGGGGCTGGGAGCACCTCCCAGCCTGGGTGGAAATGTGCAGCCAAGGGGCTTGGCTGGGGGAATGGGTCAGAGTTATGGGTGGCTTCTCTGGGAGAATGGCAGGGGGCTGGCTCCATGCTGTTGC